CATCAAAGTAGTGCATCTGCCACTGAATACTACGGTGCTCATCCAACCTATGGACGAAGGAGTTATTGCAACTTTCAAGAAATATTATTTACGTCAAACTTTTTGTCAAGCAGTAAAGGCTACTGATGAAACAGGAACAGCCATGCGACAATTTTGGAAGGACTATAACATCTACAAGGCCATAGAAAACATCAACTTTGCTTGGCGTGAGGTTTCGGCTTTCACCATGAATGGGGTTTGGAAGAACCTTTGCCGGCAGTTTGTTCATGAAGTTCCAGACATCACTGGATCGTTTTTTCCAGAGGGTAGACAGAATTGAATCCATCAAAAAACTTGCGTTATCAACATAAGGTGTGAGTGAAATTCCATCTTGCCCTCCATTTCCTATTGCTGATGATCCTTCAGCTCCATCAACATCAGATGTGGGCCAAATTCCATCTTGCCCTCCATCTCCTATTGTTGATGATCCTTAATCTCCGTCAACATCAGGTGTGGGCCACATTTGCCATCTTATTGCCCTCCAACATCGCCTATCTTGCCCTGATGATCCTTCAGCCCTCCATCGCCTATTGCTGATGATCCTCAGCCCATCTCCCACCTACCCTTCTCCTCCAGTTAGTAACTCTCTTCTACTATATGCCAGTTTTGGTACTGTACTGTACCACCATTTTAAGATAACTGTAAAAGCAAAAATAGTTTTACAGTTGTACCGTATCACCATTAAGGAAACTAGAAAAGTAAAAATAGTTTATTTACAGTATTTTTGTGTTTGTTTTTTTATGCTTTACATTGTATATTTGTGTCAGAGGTGTATAAGACTCACTTTGTCAGACTTATGAACGAATCCAATTTACGAACGTTCTCCCGGAACGGAACTCATTCGTAAATCAGGGACTTACTGTACTCATTATTTTCTTAGAGCTAAAGTCCTGATACCCCCTTGGCGCATGGGCACTCGACATAATACTAGATAGAAGACGGCTGTTTTGATAGAGAGCGCCTGTCTTTAGCTCCCAGAACTAAGTGGGCCACAGAATGAGAAAGGTGATGTGTATCAGACTTACCTACTTCTACATCCCTCATTCTAGTGCTTGGCTTGAGCAACAGCTGGGATCCATAGACAGGTGCTATAAAGCAAACCAGCCATCTCCTTTCTGACTGCAGTGTCCGGTGGCTAGTGATTTAGGGCAGCTAGGAAGATGGGATGAAGTACTACATGTACTTTGTTCCAGCAGAATAAAAATGGTGATAATTAATCTTTAAAAATTCTAATTTTAAAAGATATTTTTGATGGAGAAAAAAAAAAGCTTCCTCTATAAATAGTTCTATTTATGTTGCACAAACTAAAATTTGCATTATATGCCTTTGTTTTAATAACCTTATCTTTCATTGTTTACATTTATTGCATCAGGTGTCAGCTGGGACTAATTTAGAGGCAATGTTATAAAAAGGTAACATTTCCAAACTAACAAAAAGCGGATATCTTCGCTAAACAGCGCCCATCTTCAAACAAAAGGATGAATCAGTGCGGAAGATAGGTGAAGCAAGCTCAGTGCACTGTTCTGGAAAAAGAAGCCCACGAACACACTATAAATGATGACATAACAAATTAGCTGCACTTCGCTCACATACAAGCACACATGGTATTGTCTACTATAATGCACTGTATGCAAACACAATGAAGAACTAATTTTTTAGAAGGATTACAAAAACGTACATTCAAGAGGAAAATTAACTCTCATAAAATTCTAATAAAGAATCATTTAAAAATACAGAAGTTCCAGTTTCTAATTAAAGCATCTTCCGTGAGAAGCTTGAGTTTCTGATTTCTGCTGTTTAAACTACTTCCAAATAATCTTAAAGGACCTTCCCTTCAACTTACAGCCTAGTTTCTAAAACTGTTGCTTAAGGAGTCCCCATCTTCCATAAATTCTTTTATTGGTCCCAACATGGACCAAGACAGCTGAGTCATGCCCAGTAATTTATCAACTCAGTCCACCACATGCCGCACCCTGGCATAAGAGAGACAGCAAGCCATTTGGTTGAGGTGATTCTGTTTACAAATTATTCAGCAAATCCCTCTGACTATAGAATTCCCCATTAACACCAACTGTCTAGGCCAGTGGTGGGCAACCTTTTTTTTCAACTGAGCCAAATCTCGCCAAAACCACGATTGAAAATTTATTTTGAAGCCACATTTTTAAAACTGAAAATACATCCCCCATATAGTAATTCATCCCCCATAGTAATTCATCCCCCATATAGTAATTCATCCCCCATATAGTAATTCATCCCCCATATAGTAATTCATCCCCCATATAGTAATTCATCCCCCATATAGTAATTCATCCCCCATATAGTAATTCATCCCCATAGTAATTCATCCCCCATATAGAAATTCATCCCCCATATAGAAATTCATCCCCCATATAGAAATTCATCCCCCATAGTAATTCATCCCCCATATAGTAATTCATCCCCCATATAGTAATTCATCCCCCATAGTAATTCATCCCCCATAGTAATTCATCCCCCATATAGTAATTCATCCCCCATATAATTCATCCCCCATAGTAATTCCCCCCTATATAGTAATTCCCCCATAGTAATTAATCCCCCATATAGTAATTCATCCCCCATAGTAATTCATCCCCCATATAGTAATTCATCCCCCCTATAGTAATTCATCCCCCCTATAGTAATTCATCCCCCCTATAGTAATTCATCCCCCATAGTAATTCATCCCCCATAGTAATTAATCCCCCATATAGTAATTCATCCCCCATAGTAATTAATCCCCCATATAGTAATTCATCCCCCCTATAGTAATTAATCCCCCATAGTAATTAATCCCCCATATAGTAATTAATCCCCCATATAGTAATTCATCCCCCCTATAGTAATTCATCCCCCCTATAGTAATTCATTCCGCATATTGTGTCAATTCACCCACCTTTGCTCCGCGCGTTCCTCTTGCCGTGTTCCCGCGCCGTTCCGGTCTTCAGGGCGGACTGTGAGAGGAGAGGAGTTCGTCACGCTGCCCCGCCTACATCCTGACAGCCAATGTTTGCCACGCTCCACGGGCCGGATTAAAAGGTCCGCCGGGCCGTAGTTTGCCCATTGCTGGGCTAGCTGCAGAGTCCTGACTTTTGGGGCGGCCGCCAGAGAGGAGGGAGGGGAGCGGGCGCCCGGCACACAGAAGAGCCGCATTAAAGTGTGTAAAGAGCCGCATGTGTAAAGAGCCGCGGCTTGCCGACCACTGGTCTAGGCCTACCTGCATTACCCTCACTACCCCTACTAGATGGGCTACTTTCCCGGCTGTTAAGGGTAGCAGTGACATCTAGGGCTGCCACCTCTGAGTTTACAACCCCCTACATCTTCACCCACCTCAGCAAATTTATTTCAGGAGCTCAAACACAGTACTTGCCTTCCATTTCTACGAGTCCTTCATTAGAACTTTCATATTAAAAGGAAAACAATTTTAACAAAATGTCAGTCTTTCTTTGTATAATAAATAGAAAACCTATTGATTATTACAACCCCAATTCCAAATAATGTTGGGATGCTTTGTAAAATCAACATAGAACAGAATGCAATGATTTGATAATCTCAAACCCATAATTTATTAAAGAAACAGAAAACATATCAAACGTTTAAACTGAGAAAATGTGCCATTTTTAGAAACAAAATAAGGCTGCACAGAGCAGCTGTATTTATACTGAGATTACATTACAGACAAGTGGACTCTATTTACTAAATAGGTGACTTCTGAAGGCAATTAGTTCCACTAGATTTTAGTTAGGGGTTTCAGAGTAAAGGGGGCTCAATGCAAATGCAGGCCACACTTTTCAAATATTTATTTGTAAAAAATTTGAAAACCATTTATCATTTTCCTTCCACTTAACAATTATGTGTCACTTTGTGTTGGTTTATCACATAAAATCCCAATAAAATACATTTACGTTTCTGGATGTAACATGACAAAATTAGGAAAATTTCAAGGGGTATGAATACTTTTTCAAGGCACTGTAGCAGTCTTGTGACTTCTATCAGTGTTCAGTCGAACACTGGTTACAGCTTGTAGGAGGAGTTTTCATTCTCCTGTAGGAGGATGCAGGACCCCTAGAGCTCTATCTGGACAGTGCGGATTGGCTCTGTGCTCATCTCATGCACTCTCCCAAGTAAAAAAGAAAAACCTCTTTAGCAATACACACTAAACTGAGCATGTGCAAAATGGCTACGGGTTCAGTCTGTCTTATCAGGAGATAAGATGTGGACATTTGAACAAGAGGAGCAGAGAAGACAGGAGCAAACGGCCTTTTTACACAGTGCAGAGGATTAACCCCTTAGGTTCCACATTGAGTATAACAAGCATGCTTTACTGCATATACAGACTGATTTTGTGAGTTTAGTAACACTTTAACTGTATTAACTGCATTCCACTGTGAGACATGCACAGAATGCCAGGTGAAAGCATGATTCAAAACTTGTGGATATGTGGCTGCATGTTACCCTATCCCTTTACTCCCAGGATGCAGGGCTCGGGTGTGAGCTGCCCATTGCCAAAACACTGTCACATCAAGAAGAGAATAAGCAAGTAAACCTGTGTGAGTTGTCATACAGGTAAAACTGAGCTTACACAAATATCAGACCCAGGGGCGGACTGACCATTTGGAAACTCGGGCACTGCCCGAGGGCCCGGGGTCTGTAGGGGGCCCCATGAGATGCCCCTGGTACCTTTTTCATAGGCTTTATTGAGTTTGGGCAAGGACACAGGGGCCCCATGATCCCCTGTTGCCTGGGGGGCCCATGAGTTGTCAGTCCACCCCTGATCAGACCCATAGGTCCTACAGACAGAGTGGCAGGAAAGCACGGTGAAAGTATATGTGTGCATGTGTGGTGAAAGTTAAAGTGCTAAAAATCAGAGAGAAGATTTAAAAATTGTGGACTGAAATGTGGTCAACAAGCATTGTGAACCATAAGAAAGAAGCAATTCTTACCAAAAGTGATACAAGGAACTTGTTAAGAAAGACAATCTTCATACAGCCAACTCGCAGGGAAGCCTTCCCATCCACTTTTGATACGTCCTTATAGGATTTTCCTTGTGTGGCCTCAGGATAGAGTGTCAAATTGAAGTTGAAAACCTCTTCTTCCATAATACAAACAGCCTAACACAAAACAAAAGAAAACTTATGATCACATTTATTGAAACAGGAATATATAAACACTGCATTCCCTCTAGCTGCTATTAACTAAGGTCTTTGTTTGTGTTGCGGCTTGTTCACACGTGTTGATTATTAAGAATGAAGCAATTCTCATTGACGTGCCTACGGCCCCTTTCACACTGACGGTCCCATCGGGTCTGCCTCTCAGTTTTTCAGGCGAACCCGATTGGACCATCCATAGACCTCTATAGACTTCCGATGGCATCCAATCTGATCCTGTACGGCAAAAACAGGCGGATGGTGATCTGTTCCCCATCCGTCTGGCGGATCGGATGACGATCTGGTGGAGACTGACAGACGGTCCATTTCCATCCGAGCATCCAATAGGAAAAAGCAGCAGAAGAGCCAACACAGACCTGTCATCCACTTGCTGCGAGATCCCTCACCGAGCAAACGTATCTGCTGACAGGTCCGCCCCGTCTGAAAGGGGCCTATAGTATTTATGATGCGTTTATGACTTAAACTATTTGACACTTGGCTTGGTCCAGCTCAACTTAAAAGAAACAAAAAGCTTTGCCACAGTCAGTAATGCTCAATGCCTTTGCTCCTGTCTGGTACTGTCAGTATTGCTGGCTGGTTGATGCTTTTGCCTGCACACAAAAGCAAATGGTGTTACCATACAGCTGTTCTGTACAAACAGGAAGTTGCTGGAGCTGCTCTGATCTAGTTCTCTCTTATTTCCCAGTGCATTCTGGGACACAGGAACCTCCACAGCTTCTCCCCAAATGCCCAGCCAACACTTTATAAATGCTTCACTAACATGCCATAAATGCTGTAGGTGCTGTTAAGGTGTGGAGCACGCCATAAATTATATCTGTGCTGTTAAGGTTTGGTTATACAGCATCACCATTGATATCAATGGAGGTGGCTGACAAAGGTCGATACCTCATGAAAGAGGCAACACAACGCAAGTTCTCCTGAGTGAACAGCACAGCTTGGTGCCATTGTAATATTCATGGCAGGCATTGAAGAGCGGCTATGAGGCTTTAACCTCCTCCTGCCCACCATATAGTGTAATGACGGGCGCAAGGCGGTTCTCTTGTTTTGGGAGGACATCATATGACGTCGTCCCATTCTAAGCGCGCAGCACGGCGATGCGCTGTGTTCCTAGGACACAGCGGATCACCGATCAACGGAAAGAGCCGAAAATGTTGGCTCGGTCATGTGATCAGCTGTGTCCAATCACAGCTGATCACATGTAAATAGGGAAATGCCGGTTATCGGCATTTCTCTCCTCATGAGCTGTCACGCTGACAGCTCAAGAGAACAGCAGAGCCGGTAATCGGCATTCCTCAGAGGGGACATGTACACTGATCATCAGGGCATGATGATCAGTGTGCCCTGATGATCTGTGTAGCCCCAGTAGTGCCACATGTCAGTGTCCATCAGTGCCACCTGCCAGTGCCCCATCAATGCCACATATCAGTGCCTACCAGTGCACATCAATGCCACATATCAGTGCCTACCAGTGCACATCAATGCCACATATCAGTGCCCATCTGAGCTGTGCCGCCCGCCCGTCAGTGCCGCCCGTCAGTGCCGCCCGTCAGTGCCGCCCGTCAGTGCCGCCCGTCAGTGCCGCCCGTCAGTGCCGCCTGCATCCGTTTCTCCCTCTGTGTATAAACTTTCCCTCCACTCAGATGGTTGGTTAAATCTTGAGAGAAAACGATAAATTCTCCTCCCTAATAAGATAGCTGGTACATTGTATAGTCCGATGCATTATGCAAGGTTCTGCCTGCGTTTCTTAACTGTCTCCAAACAAAATAAAAACTATAGCAGGCCATAGATGGATCGAATATCAGCCAGTTTAGCAGGAAACGGTCAAGATTCCATCTATCTATGGGCAGGATGGCTGTAATGAAGTCGATCCTTCGATCGACTTCAGTATAATCAACCTGTCTTATTTTTTTTCCTGTGATCACTACAGCTACAGCTGCTAGCGGTGATCATTGTGTTCTACTGGCAGAACACAATAGCAATGCGGGAGGGATTCTCCCATCAACAGTGACAGTGTTGATGGAGAAATTGGGCAGTTTTCCTTTCCTTCCACCTATGGTGGAAGGAAAGAAAACTGCATAATCTATAATGGGCTTCTTTAGTATTTCACTTTTTGAGTGTGTTATCTTGTCAGAAGACAACAGTCAAAAGTGGGATACACCAAAGGGCAGCAACCCGAAAAAGCTCAGCAACAAAATTCAAGAGGTCCTTAGAAAAATATGCACCCCAGGTGAGCATATGCCTGCCACTGCTGGCAAAGAGGATCCACACCAACCTATAACAATTTTTTAGACCCCAGAAGCCTCCAGTCCACTAGCTCTTGACCAGCAGCTCTCTGTAAACCAGAACACATTTCGAAAGTGCTTTGCTTCAGAATGTGTAAATTAGATGATCTCCCAAAGCAGGACATGTGAATATTTTCTTGTCTATGCCAACCCTGCTTTAAGACCAGAAACAGTTAGTGAGAGCTATGATGCATGTCTGCATGCCACTATCTCTCCATCTTTAAGACTAACATGAGGTACAGGCAGCATATGTAGCTGCTACGGTTTCAGTAGATAAAGTCTTTTTGTTCCTGATTTATATCTGTTGAGCTATATTATCTGAAGAAGATGTGGCCACACGCACAGGTCGATTCTTTTCACATATATGTAACCGCTACAGTCAAGGGAGCCCCATTAGATTATTATGGGGGTTTTTTCATAGAAAGGGCTTTTGTATTCTGAAAATGCATTGGGTCAGTTTTATGTCTGGCTACATTTCAATAACACCACCATTTAAAAAAGCTGCACAAGGTGCCACGCAGAGTTAACCTTCTTATGGATGGTATGCGGGTTGACATCATTGACAAGAATATCTTTCAACCTTGCAAAAATGTCTATCTTGCTAGATTCCAAGAAAATGGAGGAGTCCAGTCCTGAAAAAGAAGATTTGTTCTATTAAAAACGGCATACTATTTAGATGTATTCATGTTGCAAAATCACACAAATCTGAAAAGGCAGTAATTTCAGCACATACACTTTGACCCGTACAGTTTGTCCCATTTCATATCCATGGAGACAGCCAATATAAATACACACATACATCATTTGTGAAGGTTGTTTTCTTTAAAGCAAGGAAAATGTGTACTATTTTACACAAAGCAGCTCTATTCCTTATGTTTTGTATTTTCCAGGTGCTTTTGTAGGTGTGAAAAATACTGGCTCTGAATTTTATACTAATAAAATTATATTGATAAAGTTTCAGTTTCACAGTGTTTAATAAAAAAGTAAATCCTCACAATTTAAAGATAATGGATTTATATATGCACTTTGATAATGAGCGGAACTCTTTAGGCCTCATTCATGCAAGTGCTGGCACCTATAGAGCATGCATGAGCAGATGCAGCGGCTGCACTGACACAAGCACATGTAAAAACAAACAGGCATGAAGGAGTGGGTGCATGGCCCTGAAAAACAGATAGTGTGTCAGCGCCTGTATGAATGAGTTCTTAAATTCCAAACACGCAACTGGACACAATAACCTGGAACAATTCTTAAAGGATAAGTTCAGCTTTTAGCTTTTGGGCAGCACAGTGGCTAAATGGTTAGCACTTCCGCCTGGCAGTAACAGGGTCGTTGGTTCGAATCCCAGCCATGGCACCTCCTGCCTGGAGTTTGCATGTTCTCCCTGTGCCTGCGTGGGTTTCCTCCGGGTACTCCGGTTTCCTGCCACATTCCAAAGACATGCTGGTAGGTTAGTTGGATCCTGTCTAAATTGGCCCTTGTATATGAATGTGAGTTAGGGACCTTAGATTGTACGCCCCTTGAGGGTTAGGGACTGATGTGAATGTACAATATATATGTAAAGCGCTGCGTAAATCGACGGTGCTATAGAAGTACCTAAAATAAATAATAATAAATAAAAAAAAAAAAAAAAAAAAAAAAAAAAAAAACACTTTTTTTGCAGGTAAAAAAATGTGCATTTATTATTTTTGTCTGCAGGAGCCTGTAAACCAGCCTCTCTCAACTGGGGTGCCGCGGGGAGAATGGCTGTCACTTGAACCCGAGCTCCCAATCCTCAGCTGCACTGTAGGGCGGCACTTGGAGCCGTCACTCCGCTCAACAAAGTGACAGAAAAGGGAAGGGGAGTGTCTTCTGTGCTCTCCGTTTCCCCCTAGAGTGCAGTACCCGGCCGTGTGATGGAAGCTAAAGGTACTCTAACTATTCATAATGCTGTATAAATGTGCCTGCGTGTGTGTACATACGTATGTGTACATGTGTGTGTATGTATGCGTGTGTACATGTGTGTTTGTATGTATGTGTACGTCTGTGTGTGTTTCGTTTTTATATGTGTGTATATGTATTTTACTTTTAATCTCGACCCCCTATTCCTATTCTTTCAGAACTGCTTTTTTAGGACTTGTCCGTAATAGCAGCAAGGACTGCTGCTCCTCTGAAAAGCAATCCATGCTCAGTTCGCTTTTCAAAGGCATTTGACAGGTGATAAAGAGGCAATATTTTGCCTCCTCACCACCTAGTTTAACCCCGTAAAAAGCAGCATCAATCACACACCACAACTGCGTGCAATGCGCATACAGTTGCGGGGTGGTTGTAGTTCAACCCCATTCACCTAGAGGTATACTTCCAGTTGCGGCAACAGTATGTGTATACCCCAGCTTCTGTTTCTGTAGCTAAAGGGGGAGCAGTTGGGGGTGGTAAAAGCAGCTCAATTGCGTGGTTTTACCGCCCTCCAACCTCACAGGTGAACAGGCCCTTGGTTCACATCTGTGTGGCTGTGTGTAGGGCAGCCCATTCATTTCAATGGGCTGCCTTACCCTCAGAAATGCAGGGAAAGTCATCCCTGACCTTTTAAAATTGCACCACACCAAAAACACCCTGCATTTGCCAATGTATGGGGGTACCCCTAAAGAGCAGAGCATTTGTCTGCGTGTAAGGAATGAGCGCGATTTTGCGTGCATTCCGCAACACACAGTAACGTGAACCAAGCCTTGGACAGGGATGCCTCGTGACTGAAAATACTTTTCAAGGGCGCCCGGCTGGAAAAATGTTGAGAAACACTGCTGTAAACCGTTGCACCAGTGATCAGCAGATCGCTGGTGCCATGCAGGTCTCCTGCAGATCTGTCAGTTTATCTGCTTGCTCGTATGGGATGTACGAGCAAGCAGATATACTGACAGGATGAATGAATAAACAACCACAGCCCTTCACAGCGCCGTGGTAGTTCATCAAGGACTACAAACTGACAGTCGCTAAGTTTGTCGGACTTGTAGTCTCTCATTCACAAATGACTGTGTATGAGTGATGTGGCCATGTCCGCGGGGCCACTTTCTTTGTAATTTGACAGCTCACAAGAGGGAGAAGATCCCCCGCTAGCTGTCATATCGGAGAGCGGGGGCCAGTCTGATTGTAACATGTTACATTTTACACCCTGAATATTAAACATGTACGAAAGGAGAACTTATTCTTAAATCCTTAGCAAGTGGGCAGGCTGGTCTGCTGAAATACAGGTGAGCCAATTGAACAGATCCGGGTTTAAAAACCCCAGGTTTAAAAACCATGGAACCAGATTTCCCATCCTTTGAGCAGGAGAACTGACTATAAAAACTGTACAAGGTCCATTTTATGCATGCTACACAAATCAGCCAAAAATTTACTATATAATCTAAATCGCCCCCACAGACTGCTTGCACACATACCCAGTATCTTGATTTCAGCAATATGATTGTTCTCATCCCACACATTCATGCTGAAGGAATTCAACTTTGCAAACACCTTGAAGGCTATCAAGTCCTTATCTTTGGAGGTCTTTGTTGCTGAAGACAAAAAAAAAAAAATTGTATAAATTAATTTGATCCAACTGCGTCACACATTTGTCCAACTCCAATGTAGCTGATATAACAAACTACTGTAATCAACAGACAACTCTTCCACACCCAATATGTTGCTATAATCTATGATAAGGATTTAGCCAATTTGCCCTTAGTAACAGTTAAAGATGTCTACAGAAAAATTGCTAAATAAATCATTTAAGTTTTGTTAATACATTTCTGTCAAACTCACAAAGTCAGTCAAGTATTACAATGAATGCACTTTTATAGAAACATTTCTACATAAACTGTATACAAGCAGTCCTAGAGTAAGAAACATCTGACTACATACGACTCATACTTAAAGGATAAGTTCACCTTTTAGAAAAAATAATAAATGCACTTTTTTTTCAGGTAAAAAAAAAAAATGTGCATTTAAAATTTTTATCTGCAAGAACCTGTAAACCATTGAACCCGAGATCAACAGAAAACCGGTGCCATGCAGGTATACAAGAGAGGAAGCAGATATACTGAGAGGAAGAATGAATGAACTACCACGGCGCTTCACAGCACCGTGGTAGTTCATTGAGGACTACAATCTGACAGCCGCTAAGGCTGTGGGGACTTGTAGTCTCTCATTCACAGATAACTGTGAATGAGTAATGTGGTTGTGTGGACAGAGCCCAGCAATGCCACGTGTTTTTTTTTTTTTAAATCTGACAGCTAGCAAGGGGGTGAGAAGATCCCCTGCTAGCTGTCAAAGCGGGGAACAAGGGCCAGTCTTATTGTAACATGTTACACCCTTAATATGGGTGTAACATGCAACGAAAAGGTGAACTTATCCTTTAAGAACGGAGGCAGCGTGACATCACACTGGTCCCAGAAACCATCGGGTGGCCATCTTGCTGCTCACTGCATGCTGACACCTACTGTTTGGCAGACCTGTCAGCAAATTGTACATCACTACCCTAGTCAGTTAACCCTTCCCAATGCTATCCAAAACATTAAAGTAATTTTTTGGCTGGAGTTACACTTAAAACATGTTCCTGCTCCAACTTGCATACAAACTCAACTTAAGAACAACCCTACAGAACATATATTGTTCATAACCCTGAAACTGCCTGTGTAATGAATTTTAAAAATACTTTACTTTAGATGCATTTTACCAAAAGTAACCAATTTTCCAAGATGCATATGACTTATGATGCCTGTAACAGAGTCATTCCAAAACACAGTTTATGACTGCTGACAGCTAGTCTGCATCCTCCCATCAAAGCATTTGTCTGTCAATGCCAGTCAAGTGCATTCATAACCATTGGTCTAAGAGTGTCAGTCTTTGACAACCTATCATGATCAGTTCCTAAAACTGTCTGTGTGCAACAGCCTGTCAATCTGTCAGCAGTGTGTGTCTAGCGAGTTATTCATGTTACATAATCTGTAGCGCTGTGCAGCAGACCACTGCACAATGTAAGCCGTTTTGTATGTTACATACTGCACACAACTGTCAGATGCATACTGTAAGCCAAACTGTATGTTACAGACTCTGGACGGCTGTACTTTATACACATATATGGGGGGGATCTCAAGGGGTGACAGGGACCTCAAAACTGGCAAAAGATAGGTTAAGAGTGCTCCACATAGCCTGGAACTCATTTATCAAATGGCAAACTAGTTGATGCATTTCGAGGGCAAGACCCTCTTCCTCAAGCTTCAAAAAAGTAGGGTCTTGCCCTCAAAGCAGTAGTTAGAGATGAGACATACCATTTAAAATGGTCATGGGGTGCTTAAAATAAGCAGCTTTTATATATTCATGTAACATCTTTATCCCAAAAGAAAAAAAATGTTTGCTGTAACTGATTATAAAGCTTGGCTTCAATTTGTTAGTGTATTTAAACCTGTTAATACAATGCATTGAAAAGGTATTCATATCCCTTGAAATTTTCCACATATTGTCATGTTGTAACGAAAAATGTAAATGTATTTTATTGGGATTTTATGTGATAGGCCAACACAAAGCGGCACATGATTGTGAAGTGCAAAGAAAATGATAAATGTTTTTCAAACTTTTTTACGAATAAATATCTGAAAAGTGTGGAGTGCATTTGTATTCAGCCCCCTTTACTCTGATACCCTTAACTAAAACCAATTGCCTTCAGAATTAATCTAATTAGTAAATAGAGTCCACCTGTGTGTAATTTAATCTCAGTATAAATACAGCTGTTCCGTGCAGCCCTCAGAGGTTTGTTAGAGATCATTAGTGAACAAACAGCATCATGAAGGCCAAGGAACACACCAGACAGGTCAGGGATAAAGTTGTGGAGAAGTTTAAAGCAGGGTTAGGTTATAAAAAAAATATCCCAAGCTTTGAACATCTCACAGAGTACTGTTCAATCCATCATCCAAAAATGGAAAGAGTATGGCACAACCGAAAACCTACCAAGACATGTCCACCTAAAACTGACAGGCCGAGCAAGGGCAGCATTAATCAGAGAAGCAGCCAAGAGGCCCATGGTAGCTCTGGAGGAGCTGCAGAGATCCACAGCTCAGGAACTGCACCCTAAGGAGCTGTATGGGCTGGAACGCACGCCTACCTGCAGCTCTTCTGGGTACATCCAGATGGAGGGGCGGTCCCGCCTTTTGCTGGAACACACAAGCCAACATATTCCCGGCTGTTACAGGTGGGCGTGAGTTCCAGCCCATACAACTCCATAAGGTGCAGTTCCTAGCCGTACCACCACTTCTAAAGCCGATCCTTTGCAATATTCATCATCCGATCCATGCACTATGCTAGCATCTTGCTCCATTCACCTGGTTTGCGCTCTCTGTGCACTCTGTAACTACACTACATTTTTACATGATTGTCATATTTATTCATCCATCCATTGATTTAAATGTGATCAGTGAAGGGCATCACTAGAGAAGGATCTGTAATATAATTAATATGTATATATATTTATTTTTATTTGCACACTTCTTATGGTTCTTATGAATTATTGATTGTCAATAGTTTTAGTGATTTTATTTTTATATATATATATATATATATATATATATATTTTTTATTTTTTTTTTTATTTCTTGTGTTTACTTATATGATGTCCATTGCCCCTGTGACCCCTCCCCCCCTGCTTAGGGTAGTGTCCAGGTAGGCCCACATGTGACCTTTGGTTCAACTAGTAGTGAGCTTATAAAAGAGGCAGCAGACATTTGGTCAGTTGGCTCTGAGGAAGAGGCAAGTCTTCGAAACGCGTCAGCCTATTGGATGTCTACACTCCCTATTGCGGACTGTTACTTGGTGTTGACCCAGCTGTTCTTTTATGACGTGCCTTGATTTTATTGTCATTTGTGAGTACACCACCTACTTTATTTCTTATTAAACATTTTTTATGGTAATGCACTAGGCCTGTGCACCCTCTGTTTGTTCTTTCCTCATTCAGTATATTTAGATGCTTTTCTTCAGCAGGGACAAGGAAGCTGGTCAGAGTTGATGGAAAGAAAAATGGAGCCAAATACAGGGCAATCTTAGCAGAAAACATGAAAACATGTTAGAGTCTGCGAATGACTTGAGACTGGGGCGGAGGTTCACCTTCCAGCAGGACAACGACCCTAAACATACAGCCAGAGCTACAATGGAATGGTTTAGATCAAAGCATATTCATGTGTTAGAATGGCCCAGTCAAAGTCCAGACCTAAATTCAATTGAGAATCTGTAGCAATACTTCAAAATTGCTGGTCACAGACGCTCTCCATCCAATCTGAAAGAGCTTGAGCTATTTTATAAAGAAGAATGGGCAACATTTTCACTCTGTAGATATGCAAAGCTGGTAGAGACATCCTCAAAAAGACTTGCAGCTGTAATTGCAGCGAAAGGTGGTTCTACAAAGTATTGACTCAGGGGGGGCTGAATACAAATGCATGCCACACTTCTCATATATTTCTTTGTAAAAAATGTTGAAAACCATTTATCATTTTCCTTTCACTTCACAATTATGTGCCACTTTGCGTTGGTCTATCACAAAATCCAAATAAAATACAATTAAGTTTTTGGTTGTAACACAACAAAATGTATGGGTATGAATGCGTTTTAAAGGCACTGTACGTTTAACACTTCTCTCCCCCAGACTGATAATGCTGCTATCTTCTGTGCTACCTGTCCTCATTCTACCAGACTGGAGGCACTCTAATACAGGAGGTGTGTTACTGGCCATATCACCTCTAAAAACAGGGAAAACAACCTAAGAAAAGAAAAAACTGATGCAGCTACCAAATCTAATAATTAGTAAGCTGCAATATATTACATTTTTGGTTTTAGGTTTAAAATATACATTCACCTTTAGGAGCATGTTACATCCATATTAAGGGTGTAACATATAGCATGCTGCTATGCACCAAACTCTGATATTTTTGCTGGTTCCTCTACATTTGAATTGCTGCTCTTACAGAATGATCCACCTTCGTGTTCCATCTCCCAGCTGTACTCTATATCCTCCTCTCTGCGGCCCACCCAGATCCCCCTTCATGCACACTAACATGTGAAAAAGAACTTTGGACCAGTATTGCCCTGGTGCATTGGGAAAAATAATTAATCCTGACACACAAATAGCAATCTGTATGCCATATTGTATATTGCATATTCCAAACCCCTGCCTTCTGAACTGCACTATATTTTACATACTCCAGACCGCCGCATTTTGTAAAATGTGCTGTATCTTAGATATAGAGAACTGATGTACTCTACATACTTCCGACCGTTGGGTTCTATGCACATTACACAGTATGTTTGTATGTTGTGCAGTATACTACATATACTGGCCCACTGCAATATGTATGCTTAGCTATATACTGTGTACCCTACACTGCTGCACTAAGTCCATTGCACTGTATAATACATTACCCAGACTACTGAATCCTGTAACCCAAGTTGTATATTCACACCATTAGGAATTCTTATATACACTTAAAATTTTACCCTGTTAAAAGGGAATGCACATTTTGCTAGTTTCTCTGAAATTTTAACAAACACTAGAAAGGTTTAAAAAGTAAACTGTATGTGCATAAACTGCAGGTTTAAAAGAGTGAACCACATTATCTCTTCCTGTCAGGAAAAATATTTGTAAACACAAAGGTCCATGACAAAAAAAAAAAAAAAACAATGCAGTTTGACAGATGAATGTTCCATTATAAAAGGGCCCATGTCATTAAAGAAGGAGTTAAACAGATCAGCCCCCACACTGGCTACACAGTGTTATTTCACATTAAGCAGAAGAGGAAGAGTGATAAGGTTTATGCCACATCAGACCTGGTTTCCACAATGAGCCAATATTTGTTCTTGGGTTTTACCTTTCTTGACAAAAGTCTCTTTGTCCGGTCTCTTCTGTGCAGAGACTGGTTCTGCCTTATCAGGGATGCTTGGCATGGCTTCTGTTATGAAGCTGATAGCAGACAGCAGTGCCTGAGAGTGCAGCAGGAGCTCCATAGATGAAAAGGCCACCTGTTGGAAACAGAGACATGTTTATGTGCATCTTGTTGGAAACCGGCGCTTTGTGCAAAGCGTAATTCATGACAAGTCCACTGTTGAAAATAAAATTAGTGAATGCCTTCTACAATAACCTAATAAAGCCTCAATATAGAAAGAAGGCATGACATGCAGAGAACTAGGAAAATTACAGAAAGGAGGATTTGAAAAAAAAAGCCAACTACGCTAAAAAACTTTCCCATTAACTATATTACATACATAAGGCTTGATCAAGTTAGAAAGGCCATAGAGGGATCAAAATTCAGCCGGCTAAGCAGGGACTGGATGAATTGTGATCCATGTATGGTCGTCCCTGTTCGACAGAAGTTGACCGTTAGACCGACTTCTGTCAAACAGGAACGTTGAAAAACTTTTGTCAATCGGCGGCTGCAGACACTGATCAATGTATTCTGACAGCAGAGATGTCCCACTGTAAAAATACAATGTCCCAGCGGGGAGGATTCTTCTATCCACTTCGCTCGTGTGGATAGTGGAATCCGTTCATTCTTCTTTTGATCATCCCACTTGATCAAAAAAAAAAAAAAAGTCATCTATGTCCAGCGTAATTTAGAGGAGTTATTTTATTTCTCTTTTTTTCAATCGTCTATAGACAGCTATTAAAACTCCCAGTTACCACCACCCTGAATTTAGTGTAATTTAATGGGCAATAACCTGTGTGATAATCTTTGACATTTTAACTTATGTTCATTTTTTTTTTCTTGAAACATTGTTTTATAACAGTAGTAATGGTAAACTGCCAGTAAATTGAAAAACAGACTAAAACTGGCCATGTGTTATTAAAATTTCACTACATGACCTGTTGGCCCCCACCTGCTTGTCATCCTTCGAATGGAAAATGCGAGGAGCCAGACAGAAGATTTGGGGCAAAACAACAGCTACATACAATCAGATTTAGCAGCTGTACAGGTATTCTGACAGCCACTGGTGCCAGCTGTCAGAAAACAATAGGCACAGAAGGAGATTTGTTCATCTGTGCTGTACAGTAGCCATAGCCTGAAGAAAAAAAAAAAAAAAAAAATCTAACAGCCTATGCAAAGTTTCGGAAAGACTACACTGGCGATTTCTTGCTACTAAAGCTGGCCACAGTTAGACTGAAATTTACATAGTTCAGCAGGAACCGGGCAAATTGCAATTTTTGTTTTTTTTCCATTGCTAGAAAATAAAAAAATGACCGATCTATGGCTAGCTTGATTTTTCTAGCAGTCACCTTAACAAATTACACAGAGCAACATAGGAGATTCTTACAATCTAAATCCTGCTACTAAAATTGTTACCTATGTATTCACTAGGTTTAGTCAATGAACACTAAACAAGTGGATTCCTATTCAGCAAGATATACTAGAAGCATGTAGTAGTGATAAATCTCACATGATCAAACGAGGCTCCATTCTTGTTTAACTTATCAATAGAAGACACTTCTGCATGCTACTTGTGTAGCCTATTCGTTTAGTGATCATTTCACCTAAATTGCAAGCAAGTTTTGAAGGATAATAGGCCACTAAAAATCTCCTCTGTAGCTCTAGGCTATTCAGAGGATAATGGCGATGATAATAAAATCAACATGTACAGTAACTCTAGTCTTAAGTATGTTATGCATCTTTGTGAATTGAGATCTAAGAAATGTAAGGTAGTTATGGTGTGGTGTCAAGGAAATAACACTGTTCAACACTGAGTGAACAATGTAGATGCACAAGGAGATGAGAGTGCAATATTGTTATAATAAAGCACAATTAAGTATGTTTTAATTAACAGAGATCACTACGTAGGCTGTTTTTTTTTTAGTGCTTTTAACAAGCAAAACCCTGAGGGAGAGAGATATCTTTATAAAGCTGTTCCCATGTTGAAGAGAAGAGGTTTTTATTAGAACTTTTACAACCTTCAGGGCCATCGGCACAGGTGAGTGCGTCCACAGGAACAGGTGGCGTCACATTGGAATTAACATTTCTTAAAGAAATGGATTTGCATTTATATAATAATTTGATTTGTGCTGGACTTTTTTTCACTTTTATTTTGTTCTTTATATATGCACATTGAAAAGATATATAGTTCAATTTAATGTATATTTTTTGAAGCTTTAAGAGTGTGCTGTACACAGGTTTATCAACACTTCATGAAACAGAGAGGCTCATTGTGTGTTATATGTTTAGTATGTGGCGTTATTTTATTATATTTTCATAGAGTGGCACATGAGATTACATACAGTATTTCCAGGAAATATCTACCTAACAAGCTTTGTAAACTCAGCCCCTAGGTTTTCTCAATTTGCAAAGAGCATTCATGAGTAGGAGGGTGAGGAAACTTTAGAACTGGATGTTTGCTCAGGAGAATGATTTTGTGCACAATTTACTGACATGGCATTTACGGACTGGCATTTTGAATTTTACTCTACACAAAGAAGATACCAACAGGTAAAAATGCAAAGAACAGTAAACTGGTAGGTATTCTCCATAAAGAAAAATTAATGGCGTAGTACTCAGGATTGCATATTCATTGCTATTGCATGTCAGTTCTTAAACTAAGGAACCCTGGCTGAAGAAAGAAGCAATTCAGGCACCGTTTGGCTAAAGAAGCACTTGAAATCGAACACATGCAAATCTGCACTTGCACATACGAGTGAACTCATTAATTTATGCTGCAAATATACTGACTGTGTGAGTTGTCATTGGTAGAACAGGGAACATCCAGAGGTAAGGTTGCCATAATGTGCTGTAAATACATTATTGGAAGTGCATCACCTGCACCTAACCCACCCACCACCCTTGTTAACACTGAAGTAAAAATAAAAAAAAAAATAATAATTATACAACTTTGCTGCCAGGCCAATATAAAACTTACACTTGAGGTTATGTTGGGTTGCGCACACTGAGGTTGATTTACTAAAACTGGAGAGTGCAAAATCTGATGCAGCTCTGAATAGAAACCAATCAGCTTCCAGGTTTTTTGTCAAAGCTCAATTGAACAAGCTGGAGTCAGAAGCCGACTGGCTACCATGCACAGCTGCACCAGATTTTGCACTCTCCAATTTTAGTTAACCAACCCCTCTGTTTTTGTATCTATTATTACAAAATGGGGTCTCTTAATGCCATGTTTTTTATTGTATATGTTATATCAGAACGGCAAAAACTGTGGCAAGTGGCCATCCAAAGTATCTCTGTAAACATTTTGTACTAAATTGTAAAAGTCTTGCAGCTAATTGAGGGACACAGGAAATCTTTAAAGAGCTCCTACTTCTCCACAGGAGTGGACTTAGTGCTGCACTCCTGTGACCCTTATTCAGCAGACAGAGGGCTAAAGCGTTGTGATCCACCCAGATTCCTGGCCAGCAGCTGACTCAGCCTTTCAATGAACTGCTGAAAGCCTGAGCCAGCCACTCGCGCCCCTACCACAGTCTGGCACCCCAGTGGGAACTGGAGTGGTGGAGCAGAGGGCCAGTGACTGACAGTCACCGGCTTATCACTCACTGAAGGCCGAGAACTAAGCAATCAGTGGTCTTTAATTACTTAGATCTCGGTCTTAGAGGCAACAGGGGACAGATGCAGCATCAGATCGATGCTGCATCCACCTAGGTGAGCATGTAAGTTTGTTTTTTTTCTTTTGTTTTTTTTTTTATTCCCATACTTCCCTTTTAAAGCAGAATTCCAACTTAAACCTAACTAGCCTTAAAAAACGTCCTCTCCCCCCTCCTAACACTTAGGATGACTAACCTGTATTAAAAAAAATGCATATATGTACCTATTTTGAGCCCGCTCCAGCCCAGTTGGCTTTCCTGTGTCAGCTAGTGGTGGCTGCAGGGGAGAGGGAGTGCCAACAATGGATTGGTCATGTAAGCCTATAGATGACATAACCGCTCCAGGCTTTACCAGCTGTTATCGAATGCTCTTTCCCCTCCCCTGCAGACACCACTGACTGACATGGGGGATCACGTAACCTAAAAGGAGCATGCTAAAAATTGGTAAGTATATGCTTTTAAACACAGCTTGGTCAGCATAGGTGTTAGAAAAGGGGAGGGAATATTCTAAAGGCTTGTTGGGTTTAAGATGGCATTCCACTTTAACATTCAGGTTATACTACTGCCTACAGGAAGACTGGACACTGGGAAACAAAGCAAGGCCAGCTCAGTATCAAACTTCCTACTACCAGCAGATAGTAGCAGGTTTTTGCTAGTGTCTTTGCAGACTGGATGTATTTTCCTCAGCTCTGTTTTTTTAAGATTAACCCATTTTTTTTTTTTTTGATTTTTGTTCTCCAATCAAAACTCTGCTCTACATTGCTGTTTGAGCCTTGTCTTTTGGTTTGCAGCTATTTGGCGCAGTTGTCCTTTGGTGTATTGTGTCCATACCCCGCTGACTGGGCATTGCAGGGATAAGCCTGGAAGTGAGCTTTGGGCACTGTGTTCCATCTGGGGCACTTTCCAGACTCCAATCTGGTAAAAGTTAGCTGCAGAGTGGTTTCTAAGTCCAGAGGCACTGGCAATACTTCAGCACTTGCTCTACATCTGATTTTGTGAGTGGGCCTGTCAGGCCAAGCACCAGGAGCTACCTTACTTGCATAGGTTACAGGTTGCAATTATTCCATATTCCTGACAGATTCTGCCACAGTGGGGTAACACTGAGGGACGGAGCACTCACATCATCTGCTGAGTGTATTGTCATGCAAGCTCTTTCCCACCATAAATCTTAGCTGAAGCATCTACCTGCAGCTTTTTCTTGCTTGCAAGAACCTTGTTTCACCCAAAGGTTTAAAATCTCTGTGTCTCAACAAGAAAGAAATCAAGATTAAAATAGAATTTTGTTTATTTCAGTTTGTACCTTTAGGGTCTGTTCAGTGTTCTCAAAAGTAGTTTGAAAATTAGGACCATTTTTGTCAGCCTGAAAAGAAAAAAAAAAAAAAAAAAAAAAAAGTTTATCTCACTATGTGCATACAAAATATACAAATAATAAAAAAACTGAATTAAATATTTTATTTTATGTACTTACATTTTCAGGAAAAAAAATTGCAGATGGATGCAAATGTGCCAAGTACCATTACAGAAGAAGATGAAGAAAGGACAATATCTTACCTTAATATATTCTACTTTCAAGAGATCCAGACCTTCTTTATCTGAAGAGTTTATTAGATGAAGAGGCTGTGTATGGAGACCTGAATCAATAGTAAAGTATGGTTATATCAATCGCCTTGCTATGTTTAAAGTATAACTAAAGGCAAAACTTTTGGTCAGTTTTGGATAGAGTGGAGATGGATTAGAACAGTGTTTCTTAACCCTTTCTGCAGTCAAGGGAAGCTTTAAAACTCTGAAACACTTTAAAACACAATCTCAAGTTATCCCATTCTAAAATGTAAAAAACTAAAATAGTTTTACATACCACAGCAATATCCACACACGTAGGACACCCAACGTTACAGCTGATTCTTTCTTCCACAGCAAAGGCACCTTTGCACACTGGCACTGACTTGAATTCCAGTTTTTCTCTTCTCCCTCAGCTAATTTGACCCCAGGGCTGGCTTGTATACAATTGGCATTTTTTAGGCATTTTGCCAAGGCACCCCTGAAGACACTTGCAGGCACCCAGGGTGCCTGCCCACCCTGGCTGAAAAATGCTGGATTAGAACATCTATTAGATTTTTATTCCTGTCTGTGCCCCCGTTAGGGAGATTTACCCTCCCGATTTCTCCTGTTTGCCAGTATCATTGAAAGTGAAAGTAAAAGAAAATCCCAAATTGTAGGCTGTCCCCAGAAAAGTAAGAGAGGGGGAAATCTTATATTTGTGGGGGTCCCCAAGGGATTCCCTTAATTTGCATTGATTTCCTTTTTTCTTCCAGGGCAGGAAGTGAAGGTATATATCCCAAATGGGACACAGATGGCAAAATAAAAACTGACAGAGGTAACTCTATCCAAAATGAAAATAAAAAGTTCTGCCTATTGTACTACTTTAAATAAAGTTTTAATTTTCCTATTATTCATGAACTTTATGTAAATAATAAGCAGCAATGTATCTAGCAGAGGTCATTACAGATGTACAACACCAAAGATACAACCTCTTAATAGCAAAAGTGTGCAAAGAAAGTCATTACAATGGCTTGATTATAAAACTCTAAATGCTTTAAAGCGTTACTAAACCTAGGACCCTGCATTCACTATATCTGGTCTCCCACACTACGCAGAACACAGAAGTGCAATTATTTTAGTAGATATAAACTGCTAAATACCTTTTCTTATTAGCAGTTAGAAAAGTCTTGTTACTTCTATCAGTGTCCAGCAGAGCACATGTTAAAGCTTGTAGAAGGAGTTTTAATTTTGCAGAGGATGCAGAACCCTTGACTTCTCTCTAGATAGTGCTGTTTGCATGTGATCAGCACAGGGCCACTCTCCAAGAAAAAAAAAAAACAAAAAACAAAAAAACCTCTCTAGCAATACACATTAAATTGAGCATGTGCAGAGTAACCACACCATGTCTTTATCAGGAGATAAGAAGGGGACACTGGAAGAAGGGGAGGATCAGAGAAATCAGGATCAAACAGCATTTTTACACAATGCAGAAGATTAACCCCTTATGTTCCACAGTGAGTATAACAAGCATGCTTTACTGCCTATACAGATGGATTTTACTGTTGTGGGTTTAGTAACACTTTAAGTTAGGTTGTGGACTTAGCTGAAGCCTAAAAGATAACCATAATTTAACATTTCATTAAGCATGCCAGCAATGGCCACATGACAGCCCTGGTTTTATAGCCGCAGCTTAAAAGTCTGATAGTGATTAAACATGTCACTGAGGGTCTTTGATGGTGGTGTAAACATATGTTTAAAACAGACATCAGGGCTAAACAATTCTTGTCTAAAAACAAGAGCTACTGTATTTGCATTATTAATTCAATCTTTGTGTCCTTTATATATTTGTACCCAAACTGTGAAGTAATCTAGCATAAAACAACACCTGACAAACTGAAAAGAGTTTCCTGGGGTCACTAATAGTGTAAAAGTGGTCCTCCTGTGCTACCTCCCTAATTGTAATGACCCCCCAAAAAAGTGACCGCAAACACCTAACTATATTCCAAAATAGTGAAAATAAATTAAAAGTGAAAGGGTGCTGCACTACTTAGTGCATGAACAGTAAACCATAAAAACATAATATGAATATATAATGAATGCACATATGCCCCTCATCCAAGTGTAAACATAACAAATGCAAAAGACATGTGAATGAGTGCAAACAAAGACAACAAACAAAGGCAGCACAAACAGCTATAATGTACTGGTGACAAAAGTGAACATAATAAGAATAATGATGATGTGTATCGTGTAGATAAACGTGCTTCAGTCCCAAAAATTAATTATTAGACAATAAAGTGACTCAGTCCCAAAAAAAAAAAATGACAGTCCCAAGACACAGGAAACAACACAATCAATCTTCAGTGCACGGAGTGAAAACTCCAGTGTAGAAAAGAAATACAAAAATATCCTCCACCGGCTAGCGTGCGCGCTCACCTTCAAAATGCGACCTGCAAGGAGTCACAAAGCATACAGAACCTCAAATGCAGATTCTGAGAAATTGGTCCTCGATCGCAATCAAAGAGCGGAAGGTCATCACCAATGACGCTGACAAACTCTCACAGGCATGCTCCAGAAATGGCCGCAGACCTCATCTCATATCGCCAGTCCCTCACATAGAAGTTACAAGCAAGAAGACTCCCATAAGTGTAATATGTCACAAACTTTATTATAAACAATATCCAAAAATAGCTACTCGCATTTAAAAAAGGTGCGCAGACCAAAAAAAGGGTAAAATTCTTGCAGCAAAAAGGAAGGAAGGAAGTCACGTTACCGGCGACTTAACACATAGGACAGAAGCATGGTAACGTCATATCTGGTAAGGACAGCAGTCGCCATCTTGGTACTCCCAATCCCATACACTTTCCCTGCAGCTTTTTGCTGCAAGAATTTTGCCCTTTTTGGTCTGCGGATATGAGTAGCTATTTTTGGATATTTTTAAATTATATTTAATCTGGTAGTTCGTGAAATCCCCCCTTACATTGGTGGTCTGTGTAAATTCTCCTATTACACCAGTGGTCAGTGTAAACCCCCCTTACATTGGTGACCAGTGTATAAACTCCCCCATTTATATTGGGGGTTGGAGTAAAATTGCCCATTACATGGTGGTCAGTGTAAACCCCCCCTTACATTGGTGGTCAGTGTAAATTCCCCATTGCATTAGTGGTCAGTGTAAAATCCCCATTGCATTGGTGGTCAGTGTAGAAACCTCCATTATTTCTAGCTCTGCTCTATACGATTCAGAATTTGACAGAGTGAACTGCCTCCTAACTAGTTGTATTATCTAGGATTTTACGACTTACAAAAGCTCAGTACTCAGCAGAATGGTTGGTGTCATATGATGTTTTCTAATTATATGCTAAATGTGTCTGCAGTGTGATATCACTGTATTCTCTGCAAGAATTGTTGGATTGCCAAGCTTTAAATAAATTATATAGACTAAGGCTAAACATACACGTGAAAATTTTTCATGTTCAACCCTGAAAGAAGAAAAATCACTTGACTAAACAATCCACATAAAACAGGAATCTCCTCTGGTGGCAATTATATTTGGACAGTAGCAGCCATGGCTGTCTGAATACCCAGACAGTGACTGAATATGATTGGATGCTGTAATTTTTGGCTGACAATATTTCACTCAACTCCTTCAATTTTAAAGCCAGCTTTTGTCAAGCTGGGTGGTGCCGACAGGGCCACCCATGGCTCAAATTTCAGCTGATACAGCAGGAGCCATGTATTGCTAGCTAAACAAATAAATTACTAACAATAATTTTTTCTCATTCTTTACATATTATAATAAATCTTTCTTTATATATAATATTTTAAAATTAAATTGTACAATAATATGCTTCTTTAACCACACCCATTTAAATGAGTGCCCCACCCATAATTAAATTTCATTCTTCTCTTACAATGGCTTACTGGATACACAACAAAAAAAAAAAGGTGTCCGTGGAAATTTTTTTGAAATGTAAAGGCTACATTGCAGTGTAAATAGAAGGGGAGAATCGTGCTGCGTTTCCTATTAACGTTAGAAAATCTTTCATTAGAGAGATATAATGGCAGATCTACAGGAGACTAGGCATAATACTACCTGCTGCAGTAGATATAGTGGCAGGTCTACAAGACAATACCTAAGAGCCTAGTTACTATAGTAATTTGAATAGAAGTTTAAAGGGCATTATAGGACATGCATCACTAAAACGTATAAGAGCCATTTTCAGTCTTTGTAAGTCATCCTCAAAAGGAAGGAGATGACCACCTCTTGTGACTGTAAACTGCATGGACAAAACAGTGGACAAAACAGTCTGCTTTTGTGAACCAGCAAGTATGAAAGCATTTTTAGAAGAGAACAGAGAGAGGACAGCAAAAGAAACTCCCTTGTGTACTTGTCTTAAGGAGTGAAATTAAAGTTAATGTCTCCGTTCTGAGTTGGAGGAAATGTCTGTAAACATTTCCCCCACCCACACTATGTCCAGGGGTGCATGGAAAACTTCTATGGGAAAAAGGCTATTAAGTAGGTCCGGTAGAGAGTCTGCCACGAGAAGAAGGACATGCCTTGAGGGGGTGGAACATATTCATGTGCAAAAGTTAGAGGAGGCCCAATAAATAAGGAAGGCACGGGGGGGAGAGCCCCTGCCTCCTGCTCCCTCCTGTACCGTGAGGAGAAGCCACCGCCACTGAGAGGGGTAAGCCACCACCACCAGAACTGCTTCCCTGCTCCCCACCGTGTGCTACACAGCCACCCCCGTGCCCCCTGCCACCGCACAGCCCCAAGTCCCGTCCAATCCGGCGGAGGTGAGCCTGCCACGCGGCCTACAGCACCCACAGACGCCGGGCCCTACAGCTCCCACAGACGCCGGGGCCCTACAGCACCTACAAGCGCTGGCCCACAGCACCCACAGACGCCGGGCCCTACAGCACCTCCAGACGCCGTGCCCTACAGCACCTCCAGACGCCGTGCCCTACAGCACCTCCAGACGCCGGACCACAGCACCCACAGACCGCCGTGACTAGCCAGCAGTTGATCCAACTGCCCACCACTCTCCCTCTCCTCCCACAGATGAACCTGGCCTACGAGACCCAACTCAGC